TAAAACAAAAGAAACCTCTAGGTTTATGTAGAAGATTTGTTTAAAATATATAATAAATTAGTGACCAATCTATAAGGCATAGAGTTAGACTTGACCATAAAAACATGTTAACTCCTACATTTTAATAAAAAGTTTTCTTGGGGAATTCCCTGGCAGTTTAGTAGTTAGGAATCCATGCATTCACTGCCAAGGGCCCAGGTTCGAACCTATCTGGGGAACTATTTATATCCCACAAACTGTGTTACACAGCCTAAATAAATAAATAAAGTAAATAAAACTTTTAAAAGGTACCATCTCAAGTAAAATAAAGCAGTTGAACCAATAACAATTGCCAAAAAGTACCAAAAATGTAAGCATTATTATGTGAAGAAACCACTGACACTGCTCTGGTTGTGGGTCATCATCCAGCGAAAGACCCAATGTGCAGTAATACAGAGATGAGATCACTTTCATTCATTACACCAAAGAGCCATTATAACCACCATCCACCCTTTCCCCACCACACACAATTTTTTTAACGACTCTGAGAAGGCAGGGTGTCACTGGGGTAAGCATAACTGCACAGACTTCTGTGTGTGAGTTAAGGAGTAATTTCCTATCCTAGTTCAGGAGCCATTACATAATACCAAATTCCTTGAACTTTATCAGTTTATTCCGTCAAATTATAAAATTTACAAATTCACAAGGTACTGACCCACTAGTGTGTGTGTCTGTGTGTGTGCACACGCATACACACACACACACACATTCTTAATAATAGTTAGATAATTCTAGCATCCCTAAAGTGACCCCTTGCTTTTCCCTTCATTTTGATTCATCTGGATCTTTGTCAAAAATAACAGACAAATGAAAGTTTAAGTCTCAAAAATATCTAATTAGAGTAGTTAAATAAAAGCAAAAGTGTCTTATATAAAAGTCTTACTTATAAATTTTATTTATAAATATCCCTGTTCTATACGACAGAAAACTTAAATAAGCAATTCACAATTTAAACTTATGAATGTGTCTTTAAAAAATGAATTAAATATGATCAATAGCAAGTCTATTACTGGCAAAAGCATTTGAAAGATCAGAGATCCTAGATGAATCTTATTTACTATTTGCATTGTATTTATTTACTACTTTACCACAGGAAAACCAGAGTTATTCTGCAAATTTAACTCCAGTAACTATCTGGATCATATTACAGCATATTTACCTCCAAGCAAACAGAGAAGCTTCAACTAATACATTATCTTTAAACCAGGTTCTTTGGAGTTCTAAAACCAGAGGTTAGTGAATAATAAATAACAGTTCTGAAATACTTGCTTGATTTAAAGACAAAGAATGAAGCAATTATGAGACAATTATTTCTAAGATAGAAATCACATCAATGAGATGCATTTTAAAAATTACAAGCAAAACTACTGATAATAAATGGCTTTGAAGAAGACTAAAATCTAAACTTTAGACTTTAGGTTTTTTCAGTCTGAGAATATTTTAATCTAAACCAAATTATCACTGTCATTGTTGAGAAGAAGATTTGACTGTTTCATACTCTCAGATTAAAAAGAAAATTCATTTGGCAAAAGCTAAAAAGGACTGTGCTTGCCTATCACTCTCTAATTTACTCATAATTTAATACAAAGAGCCATGTAACAAAGAAGTATAAACTATAGTTTATCCTCTGCATTGTGAAGACTTTCTTTCTCAGAATCTAAAGAACTAAAAATGCCCTAATAGCAGCAATCTTCAGGTTTGAACTAATTCTAATAAGAAAAATTTGCAATGAATGATTAAAAGTTTTACAAAATTTAGAATGATTTTATTAAGGAAATAATCACATACTCACCTCCAGCTTCACTCACCCCAATGAAGCCTGACACTTTTTTTCTTAAAGATTAATTAGTTTACTTATTAAGTATACTAAAGGTCATGCTTCAATTAAGTTTCCACAAGCTATGAAAATTAAACTATATTCTAGGTGACGCATACATTTACTCAAAACCTATTATAAGTTCTACTATGTATAAATGCTCACATAAAAACATGGGAGTGTAAGAAAATCCCAGTATTAACAGGATTATAGTACAGCATGGAAAATCTACCCAAACTAGCACACATTGTATAGAACAGGAACAAAGTAAATAGAAAATCTTTTTAAAAACTGGCAGTTAATTCTATCTTGCACTTCCTTCCTCCACTTCATTTTCTAAGGGAACTGGTGTATTAAAAAAGAATCCCCATTTTTGGGGATGGCTAGGGGGTGGGTAACTACTTAAGAGAAGGAACAGAGAAGTTTCTAAGCAAAAAATAATATATAAGTAAAGTTACCTTAATACCCCATTTGAGGAGTTAAATTCAATTCTAAAGCACAAAAACAGCAGGCAAGGTAAAGGGGATTATGGAAGGCCATAAAAAAGTGATCTAAGCCAATTTAAATACAATGGAAAGTCACTGAAGGATTTTAAGGAAAGTGATGAGATTCCTCAAATTGCACTGGAGGAGTATAGTTAAAAGACTACTGCATGACTCTATGAGACGCTTGGGTATTAACAACGCAGCAGGGAGAGAATAGACAGGATAGGACAATTACAGCCAATTATGTATAGAGAAGACAAATTCCTGGGGAGGGAGCTGTAATAGCAATAGTTATATGTCTTCTGCTTCTCTTTACATTAAGTACATAACCCTCACCATAAACCCAAAATCAATGTAAGGAATTTAATGATCTTATTAGAAAAAAAATGAATCCACAAAAACTCTTTTTTAAAGTAAACCTCTTAAAAGAGACCAAAACATTACAATGAGGAATAAAAACAAAATCTGGCATTTAAATAATGATGATAATAATTATGAGGGGGGATTATATTTCAACTATATATTATTTCTTAAAAATAAAACAAACTTCAATATTGATAGCATAACATTCTTCCCATGTTAAATGCCACATCTTAATCTTAAGGGTCATTTCCCAAGAATATTCAAAGCTACCATCATTTTCCCAAGTGTCTCTCTCAAACCTTAATGATAAAGAATGTATTTTAAGAAAATATGTTTGCCTGTTTTTCCATCTTCAACTGTGAACCAGTCTAACTGATCACATCATCTGACAATAGTGTCCCATTCGATTTTAGTAATTCAACGAAGTTTTCACAGACATCATGAATTCCTACATTTCTCATGAGACTGGCCACTTTATAATACAACCACTTCTCTTCTCTTCCACCAATAAGATCCTACAAAATCCAAAAAAAGTCCACCATTTCCTCTTTACAGATTCTCGCAATGTTCCTAACATTCCTCCTAGCTTCCAATTGCAGGGGATTGGGAGGGACAGAAAGTCTCTTCTCTATCCTCTACATGTGAACCCCTGTAGGTATTTTATAATCTAAAATAGACCCTTCTCAAAACTACTCCATGACATTTTATTATCTCTTCTCTTCACTTCATTCATGTGTCAGCTTTCTAATACGTCTAACTTCCTTCCCAGGATACTACTTATATGTTATGTACAAATATTATATTTTTTCTTACTTAGCATTTCCCTCAACCTCCACACACACACACACACACCCCAAAGGGAAGTTCCATAAAGGGAGGGACTTTCCAGCTACATCCAACACTTAAAACAGTGTCCAGTACATCAGAGGCATTAAATTTTAAAAAGCCAGTTAAATGAACATAATACTGTATTGTTAATATGTTATTAAAAGTCATCAGTGAGAGATTAACAAAGACCAGGGGCTTCCCTAGCAGCTCAGATGGTAACAAAGACCTGGCCACAACAGATAGAAACAAATGCTATATAAAGTGATATGACAGAAAGTGATATGATAATAAGAATTATCAGTTTATTAGAGAAGATGTTGTGATATGACAACTTTTACTTGCCTGGATGCACTCACATAATAAATATTCTATTTACACAGATCCCACATATGTCAGGAAGTGAATGCTAAGCTAAAGATAATATCCCACAGACTGAATCATTCCCAAGTGTTTTAAAGAAAATAAAATATGGACAAAACCAAGCTGAATTACACAGGTAAAGTGACCCCAGAATCACTCAGCACTCATGCGGATTCTCTATAAAATGGTTATTGAAATATATCAAACATACCAGGAATGTTATTTTGCTAGAATATTCCTTGTGTCCCTTCCCCACATATCATCCCAAACTAGATGTAGAATGGCTTTCCTGATCTGGCACTGGCCATGAAGTTAGTGTAATCTCTGTACTGCCACTGGACTGCTTGAAAATCCATGTGTTATCCTAAAACTATTTGTCTAAAAAGCTTCTGTGGGACCACAATGGTGAATGGATTAGCAAGTTAAAAACATGTAAAATTTCTCCTGCCCTGAACATAACAAAAAAGTTCAAATTCAAATGTTAGATAGTAGATATTTCATCAACAGAACTTTAAATTTACATAGGGACCATAGACATTCACCATATTTCGCAAAAACACACTGAAGGAGGCCAGTCACTACCACTACTTAAAATCTAGGGAAACAGTCATGAGCAAGATAATTCCTGCTCTATAGAAAATACAGCAGGGAACACTTAATTAAATTAATAATGGGGAGTTATAAAGAAACTAGCAGAGATGTCCAAACAAACAGATCTATCTAATTCAACAGGACAGTGGCAAAGTCAAAGGTATTAGTGTAACTAACTTTTCCCTAATATTACCATTTCATTCTCTCAAATTATAGATTTTTAAAGTCATCTGATTTTAATTCACAATATATTCAAAGCTACCATTATTTTGAGAAATCCACCAAACTTTTAATTCATTACTGAATTCACAGTATTATAATATTCTACTACCTGTCCCTGGCATGAAATTTAAGCATAAAGGAAACAGATGGGCCATCTGAATCTCATTTCTACATCATGACCAAAAGTAATTTCTCAGGAGTTGTGTTCATTACATGGAAAAGGCTACCAAGGACTAATACCATATGTGCACTTTATAACATAAATCCAAAGCAATTACAGGTTTCAAGCTTTGTACCTGTGTGATGGAGAAGGAGCTTCAAATTGAGGCACTGTGCTATCCTCACTGACAGGAGAATATAAGCCGCTCATTTCCTGGAAGCACAATTATTAGAGTTATAGACACTCCAAAGAGAAGATATATAAGTCAAAAGGAGCTATTTATTTCTTTCCAATTACAGGTTTTATCAGTTCCTTTTTGTCTCAACATCCAAATTTCTCAAGGTTTCCTCTCCATAGAGTACAAAAACAAGGATATCTAAAACTTATGAGACAAGTCTTTTTTATGATATACATACTTAAAGAACTAGAAATTCTTTAATAAATATTATTCATTACTAATGAAGCCACCAAATGCAGAAAAAGACAAATGTAAATTTTTTTAATGAGACATACTGTACATTATGTGAACAGTGAACTAGCCAATCATTTTTAATCTAGGTGAGAACCTACTGATAAATATTAAGGTAAGTATGGCAACTGACTAAATAGACCTTTGTCAGCGAAGGAATGACTCTGCTTTTTAATACACTGTCTAGATGTGTGTTAGCGTTAGTCAATCAGTTGTGTCCACCTCTCTGCAACCCCACAAACTGTAGCCTTCCAAGCAAGAATAGTGGAGGGGATTGCCATTCTCTTCTCCAGAGGATCTTCCCAACCCAGGGATTGAACCTGGGTTAGTCACAGCTTTTCTTCCAGGAGCAAGCATCTTTTAATTTCATGGCTACAATCACCATCTGCAATGAGTTTGGAGCCCAAGTAAATAAAATCTGTCACTGTTTCCATTTTTTCTCCATCTATTTGCCATGAAGTGATGGGACTAGACAGCATGATCTTCGTTTTTTTGAGCTGAGTTTTAAACCAACTTTTTCACTCTCCTGTTTCACCTTCATCAAGAGGTTCTTCAGTTTCTCTTTGCTTTCTGCCATAAAGGTGGTGTCATCTGCATATCTGAGGTTATTGATATTTCTCCTGTCAAGCTTGATTCCAGCTTGTGCTTCATCCAGTCTGGCATTTTGCATGATGTACTGTGCATATAAGTTAAATAAGCAGGGTGACAATATGCAGCCTTGACGTACTCCTTTCCCAATTTTTTTTTTTACTTTCTCCTTTCCCAATTTTAAACCAGTCCGTTGTTCCATGTCTAGTTCTAACTGTTCTGTCCTGACCTGCATAGAGGTTTCACAGGAGGCAGGTAAGGTGGTCCGGTATTCCCATCTCAAAGAATTTTCCACAGTTTTTCATGATCCACACAAAGGCTTTAGAGTAGTCAATGAAACAGAAGATGTTTTTCTGGAATTCTCTTGCTTTTTCAATGATCCAACATATGTTGGCAATTTGATCTCTGGTTCCTCTGCCTTTTCTAAATCCAGCTTGAACATCTGGAAGCTCTTGGTTCATGTACTGTTGTAGCCTAGCTTGGAGAATTTTGAGCATTCCTTTGCTAGCATGTGAAATGAGGGCAACTGTGTAGTACTTTGAACATTCATTAACTTTGCTCTTCCTGGGGACTGGAATGAAAACTGAACTTTTCCAGTCCGGTGGCCCCTGCTGAGTTTTCCAAATTTGCTGGCATATTGAGTGCAGCACTTTCACAGCACCATCTTTCAGGATTTGAAATAGCTCAGCTGGAATTGTATCACCTCCACTAGCTTTGTTTGTAGTGATGCTTCCTAAGGCCCACTTGACTTCGCACTCCGAGATGTCTGGGTCTAGGTGAGTGATCCGTCGTGGTTATCTGGGTCATTAAGATCCTTTTTGTACAGTTCTTCTGTGTATTCTTGCCACCTTTTCTTAATAGCTTTTGCTTCTGTTAGGTCCATACTGTTTCTGTCCTTTACTGAGCCCATCTTTGCATGAAATGTTCCCTTGGTGTCTCTGATTTTCTTGAAGAGCTCTCTAGTCTTCCCCATTCTATTGTTTTCCTCTATTTCTTTGCACTGATCACTGAGGAAGGCTTTCTTATCTCTCCATGCTATTCTTTGGAATTCTGCATCCAGATGGGTATATCTTTCCTTTTTTCCCTTGCCTTTTGCTTCTCGTCTTTTCTCAGCCATTTTGCCTTCCTGCATTTCTTTTTCTTGGAGATGGTTTTGATCACCACCTCATGTACAATATTATGAAACTCTGTGCACAGTTCTTCAGGCACTCTATCAGATTTAATCTGTTGAATCTATTCATTACTTACACTGTATAATCATAAGGGATTTGATTTAGGTCATACCTGAATGGTCTAGCAGTTTTCCCTGCTTTCTTCAGTTTAAGTATGAATTTTACAATAAGGAATTTGTGATCTGAGCCACAGTCAGTACCCAGTCGTGTTTTTGCTGACTATATAGACCTTCTCCATCTTTGGCTACAAAGAATATAATCAATCTGATTTTGGTATTGACCATCTGGTGATGTCCATGTGTAGAGTAGTCTCTTGTGCTGTTGGAAGAGGGTGTTTGCTATGACCAGTGCGTTCTCTTGGCAAAACTCTGTTAGCCTTTGCCCTGCTTCATTTCGTACTACAAGGTGAAACTTGCCTCTTACTCCTGGTATCTCTTGATTTCCTACTATTCATTCCAATCCCCTATGACAAAAAGGACATCTTTTTAGGGTTCTATAAAGTCCTATAAAGTCTTGTAGGTCTTCACAGAACTGTTCTACTTCACCTTCTTTGGCATTAGTCAAAGTTACGGTTTTTCTAGCAGTCATGTACTAATGTGAGAGTTGGACCATAAAGAAGGCTAAGCACTGAAGAATTGATACTTTTCAATTGTGGGGCTGCAGAAGATTCTTGAGAGTCCCTTGGACTGCACGGGGATCAAACCACTCAATCCTAAGGAAATCAATCTTGAATACTCATTGGAGGGACTGATGCTGATGCTGAAACTCCAATACTTTGGCCACCTGATACAAAGAGCCAATTCACTCGAAAAGACCCTGAGGCTGGGAAAGATTGAAAGCAGGAGGAGAAGCAGAAGACAGAGGACAAGATGGTTGGATAGCATCACCGACTCAATAAATATGAGTCTGGGCAAGATTTGGGAGATGGTGAAGGACAGGGAAGCCTGGTGTGCTGCAGTCCATGGGGCCACAAAGAGCTGGACATGACGAGTGACTGAATCGCAACTGGACCATTACTGTTCAACTCTCTGAGCAACAACAGCAACTGGATCATTACTGTTCAACTCACCAAAGTATAGAAAAACAGGATATATCAGTCACTACTTTGAAAATATTCTTTGCAAACATTAAGAAAAGTAACATCCCTCTTGATGCAAATATTAGCTTTGTTTACTAACTGCTTAAACTCTAACTTTTGATCATTAACTCTGAGGAAAAGGGCTCCTAATAAATTATCACAGAAATTATGCCTGTTACTGTCTATATAATGGAGACTAATCCCATAAATTTAATGCAGCAATTTAAAAGGAAAGAAAAATTTTCATGAAATTGAAAAGCTACTTGAGATGTAAGAAATTCTTGATCTTACTTCCACTCTTTTGATATCCTCTTCCAAAACACTTAACTCCTTCTGAATCTGCTCCAGTTGCTGTAGATTAGAGAGGGGAAAAAAAAAAAAAGCCTAAACCAAACCACACTAGCATCACCACAATCATAAAGTAATTTTATATTTAGAATATGATTTCTAGGAAATTGTGCACTAATGGTAAAAATGTAGGGGTGAAAAACAGCAGATAAAAAGCACTGAACATTCCTATGTTAAAAACTAAATGTAAAGACAATATTTAAGATAATAGTAAGAAATAAGAAAATAGTACTTTCTTTAATACAATAATTGACTTTTTAATAAAAATATTAAAGATGAACAGTAACTGTGATTTAATAAAAACAGAAGATATGCAAAGAACTTTCAAATCACCTCATTTAACTGTCAGCAATTAATGTCACCATGTCAGTTGTTAACCTCATTTTAAAAATAAAAATAAGTCTCAAAGATTAAATTCTACCACCCAAAAGCAATCACAAGTTACCCTCTTAAGCATTTTTTAAAACATATTTAAGATAATGCCTCATCTTTGACATTTTGCCTACTGCCCCATAACTTTTCTCCATGCCTTTAAAATGCAAAAATTTTAATTGTTGTATCATATTTAATGATATATTTGACAATCATAAATAATTCTGAACCATATGAGTCTGCATTTTAGATTATATGAGTCTGCATTCCAAATTTTACTGAGATTATTAAAATGAAATTATTTGATCAAGAGAAATAGCAATTCTTCACTACATGAAAAAAACTGCTTTCCAGAAACACTATCAAATTTAAATTTCTATAATTATTATAAATAACTGGCTGTCTTAATCTAAGCCAAATATACTGAAGCCAATTTTATTTTTTGACCATGTTGTGCAGCATGCAGGATCTCAGTTCCCCAAACAGGAATCGAACCCATGTCCCCTGTTTTGAGAGCTCTGAGTATCAACCACTGAACTTTCAGGGAAAACCCCTGAGCAAGTTTTTAGAATATAAAATAATAATAATGAGCATATTTATGTAATACTTATTGCCAGATGTGCAATAGGAAGTATTACACGGGAAAATAATCATAGAAAGATTAAGTGACTTGCCCAACATCGCAGTAAGTACACAGCAGAACTGGAGTTGAAATCAAAGCAGCCTTCTTATTCCAGAATTCATGCTGTTAACTACTATGTTATAACACTACTACTTGAAAACAGTACCTTATTATTTAACTTTATTTTACCTAATGACTAGTAGGAGTAAACATTTTTAAGCATGTTTTCTTCTGAGGCAATATATAGACAGTTGATAATACATTAACTCAAATATTAACCAATCTTAAACATTTCGCTAAGTACTGTGAAGAACGGAATTTAGAAAACTCTAGCCCTTGGCCTCATGGAATTCAGTCTAGAGAAGAGCTTCTGGGTTGGTGAACATGTAGGTTGGTGAGCATGTGAAGATGCTGGGAGAACAGCACACCTGGAGAGGGTAGGGAAGCGCCATGCCCCTTCCCACATATCTCTTTTCTATCCTTTTACAATAAACTGATAATCCAGTAAGTAAACTATGCTCCTGTTATGTGACCCATTTCAGCACATTATCAAATCCTTGGAGGGGGACAGTGGAACCACCAATTTATAGCCAGTAGGTTAAATATACAAATGACTTCTTGGACATGCAATTATGATCTGAAGGGGCTACTCAGTCTTGCGGGACTGAGTCCTCAACCAGTGGAATCTGCTGCCAACTCCAAGTAGACTGTGTTAGATAGAACTGACCTGAATTGAGTTCCAGGACACTCTGCTTGTGTCTATAGAGAACTGGAGAACTAGCTGGTGTAAGAAATCACCTACACATTTGGTGGCCAGAAATATGGAGAGAGGAAATGAATAAAGGAAACAAGTGTTCTCCTTTCAGGCATCAATATAAGACATTACAGTATAGGAAATAGAAGAAAGACAAAGGATAACTGTTTTAAAAAGCAAAAAGGAACAACTAGCCTAAATTCACTCTGCAAATGTGTTTCATAAACCAGAGAGGCAGAATCTAGAATAAAAGCATAAAGCAGAGACCAAGAATGTTTTGGAAATATATGAAGAAAGTTCATAAAGCTGAACTGTCATTATCTAAATGAAAATGGACCACAAATGGGAATGAAAATAGACAAACTTCTGGATCATATCTGCCTTAACACTATTTTAAGTTTTGGGGGTACTAAAAATAATAATAATAATAAATACACAAGATGGAGTACTGCTACTTGAGAGCACAGTCCAAAGTCATCAATAGAAAGCACTCTCATGACAGTATACTGTATTACAACCCAAAGAAATTATTTTAAAAATTTGAAAAGTGAAGAATGGAAGTCTGAATGCCTTAAGACTAAAACATAAAAGAATTCAAAAATAGAACCCCTTTTAATTGACATTAGCTTTGGTGCAGTTAGGTATCATTGGCACTCATTTATTTGACCTTCACTATGATTGAATAAAAATATGCTGAAGTAGTAAATTCAGTATCTTAATTTTGTTTTTTGGAGCTAATATAATTAGAATAAATTACAGTTGCCAAGACCTTGTCAACTATCTGAAATATTCAAAACTGAACAAAAGAATACTGATAAACTTCCAGGGGAAAAAAAAAGCTGGTTAAAAAAAAAAGTAGCAAAATTAATACTACTATATAATATATAAACAAAAAAGCACTAAAAATAATTTTTTTAAAAAGCACTGTATATTGATTAGAATATCCAATATCCAGAACACTAACACCAAAAGCTGAAAAAGATGTGTAGCAACAAGAACTCTCATTTATTCTTGGTAGGAATGAAAAATTGTACAGCCACTCTGAAAGGCAGTTGGGCAGTTTCTTTAAAAATTATACATATTCTTATCATATAAGCCAGTAAACACACTCCTTGGTCTTTACCCAAGTGAGTTGAAAACTTTGATTCCAAAAAAACACATTGATAGCAGTTTTAGTCATAATTAACAATACCTGAAACAAACAAGATGTCCTTCAGATGAATGGATAAACAGTGGTTCATAAAGACAATGGAATAATATTCAGTGCTAAGAAGAAATGAGCTTTCAAGTCATAAAAAAACATGAGGAAATTTAAATGTGTTATTACTATGGGGTATATGGAAAATCTCTGTACCATCTTTTCAATTCTTCTGTGAGCTTAAAACTGCTCTGAAAAAGTCTTTAAAAAATATAAATACAGTGAAGTAACTCTTAAAGAAAAAACATAAGAACAAAAAATCAAAACAGAAAAGAAACAAAAACATAACAAAATGGTAGGCTTAAACTCTTTTACATTAAATGTAAATGGTTTAAATACAAAATTATAAGACTGAGTCTGGCAGAATGAATGAAAAACCTCTGCTGTATACAAGAAATTCACCTCAAATAAGTTAGTAATACAACAAAGAACCAAAGATTCAGTAGGATGCAAAACATTCTTACCAAACTGTGCAACTGCAGGAAACACATTCTTTACAAGCATGAATATTTCAAAATTTAATAAACTAACATGTGACAATGCAAATATCATACTATAAAAACCAAATTATTTTCTGATAACAATGCAATTATAACAGAAATCCATAATTTTTTTTTAAAAAAGGTCTCCATTGGTAGTTTAGTAGGTAAGAATCCATCTGCAAATGCAGGGGACATGGGTTTGATCCCTGGTCCAGGAAGATTCCACATGCCACAGGGCAATTAAGTTCATGTACCACAACTACTGAGCCTGCTCTCTAGAGCCCATGAGCCACAATTACTGATGCCTGTGTGCCTAGAACCTGTGCTTGGCAACAAGAGAAGCCACCACAATGAGAAGCCTGTGCACAGCAACGAAGAGTAGCCCCCATCTAACACAACTAGAGAAAGCCCACATGCAGCAATGAAGATCCAACACAACCAAAAATAAAATAAGTAACTTCCTTTTAAATGAAAGAATCCCAACATCTAAGTAATAAGTTTATCTACAAATAATCCACATCCTTAAGAAAAAGTATAATGAAAATTAGAGACTACTTTGAACTAAGGAATAACAAACAAAATGTCATACCAAAATTATTAGATGCAACTAAAAGAATTATGGCCTGAAATGTGTATATTATTAATAATAAAGTCTTCCTACTAATATGTATATCCAAGTTAACAAATTAGAAAAGAAACAAAATAAAGCCAAAAAAGTAGAAGGATGGACAATGTAATTATTAAGAAAATGGAAAACAAAAATAAAGTAGAGAACATAAACAAAGCCAAAAAGCTGGTTCCTGGATAAAACTCATAAAGTTGATACATCCCTGAATACCTGACATGACCTGATCAAAACAAACAAACAAACTGAAAAATGTACAGCACCAATAAGCAGAATCAGGAATGAAAGACACCACTAAAAACCCTAGTGGTATTAAAAATTTAGTATTAAGACCAATCTAATACTAAAAAATTTGAAAATTTAGAAAAAACAGACAACTCTTAGAAAATATACAACATGTCAAAAATAGTATCTAAAACAAAACTCTGAATAAGCAGTAAATGAATCAACCAAGTTTCTGCAAACAACAGGTCCATACAGCTTTTCCAGCAAAATCCTTAAACATTCAGCAAAGATATTCATCCTAGATTATACAAATTCTTCCAGAAAACAGAAAAAGAGGGTGCATTCTCCAACCAATTTGATAAAACCAACTTTATAACAAAACCAGACAAGATCAGTGTATAAAAAGTTAAAGAACAATCTTATTAATGAATATAGATGCAATAAGGGAGCCAAGGAGGGCAAACAACTGTCCTACTTATCTAGAATGCGAACATTCAATGATAAAACTAAACACTCTTGGGCAAATCAGGACAGTTGGTCACCCTAGGTGCAAAGTTGATTGAGTTATTAATGTTAAACAAATAATGATCCATTTTAAATGAAAAAAAATTATATCATCTCAACTGCACAAAAATTTTGGAGAATACTCAACCCCCATTTACAATTAAAAAAAAAGTTCTCTTAGGAAACTGGGAATAGAAACTTAGCTCCTTGAAAGATTTAAAAAAAATACCTACCAAAAACCTACAGAAAACATCATACCTAATGGTGACACGTCGAAAGCTTTCACTTTGAGATCAGCACCAAGACTAGGATGCCCCGCTATCACCACTTCTATTCATCATTGTACCGGATATCCTAGCCAGCAGAGTAAGACAAGAAAAATAAATAAAGGATATAAGGATCATAAAGAAAGAAACTAAACTGTTATTATTTGCAGATGGTGATGTGTGCAAAGAAAATACAAAATAATCTACAAATTAGAATTAATGATTTTAACAAAATTGCTGGATACAAAAAAAAAGTATGTGTCAAAATCAATTGCATTTCTATATGCCAGCAATAAATAAATAATAAGAAACTGAAATTAAAGACACAGACATCACTTAGAATAGCATAAAAATGATTGAAGACCTAAGGGCAACTCTAAAATAGAGATATGTAAGAATAATATCCTGAAAAATATCAAAATTTTGGAGGCCATTTTTAAGGACCTATAGATACAGAGAGAAATACCATGTTCAACGGCTAGAGGACTCAATACTGTAAAGAGAGCTTCCCAAATTGATCAATGGAGTCAAAGTAATCCCAATAAAAATCACAGCAGGTATACCATGGAAACATATCAGCTGGTTTTAAAATTTATAGAGAAATACAAAGAGCCGCGAATAGCTGCGACTTTCCTAAAAAAAGAATAGTAACTTACTTCAAAATTCCAGTATTTAATACAATGTGGTATTGCCAGAAAGACAGACAAACAGACTAGTGGAGCAAAAGAGAACCTGGAAACAGACCCATGTATGTATAGACATATGATCTATGACAGATGTGGTATTTCAAAGCAATGGGAAAAGGATGAACTTTTTAATTAAGGATGCTTGGACATCTGGATATTCATATGAAAAATTTCCCAGTAGATTATAGATGTATGTATGAAAAAAAAAAGAATAAAAGATTCAAGTAGGTAATACAGCAAAATGTCTTCATGACCTCAGGTGGAGAATTCTTTACCTTATAAAAAAGGCACTAATTATAACAGGCAAGACTAATAAATTTGACTCCACTATAGACAGAAACTTCTCTTCATCAAATAACATCATTAAGACAATAAAAAAAAATTAGCCCAATTAGAGGGGAGAAAGATCTGCTATAGATAAGTAGGTAGACAGAACAAAGAATTTTTATCTAGAATATATAAGCAAACCAGAAGGAAAATCAATGAAATAGAAAATATGCACAAAGCTTAAACCAAGTACTTCATACATATACAAAAATCCAAATGACCAATTCATAGTACTGAGTACTCAACCTCATTATCCATCAGGGAAATGAAACTTAAAGTCACAAAGAGATACCAATATATACCCGAAGATGAGCCAAACTGAAAAAAGTCTACTGATATCAAGTACTGGTAAGAATATAGTACAATAGGAACATTCCTACAATTCCTGTAGGAAGAGTAACCAATTCAACCACTCAGGCATTGTTTGGCATTATCTACTAAATTTGAAGATGTACATATCCTATGACTTAATAATTCCATTTCTACATATGAAGCATAGAGATATATATTCTAATATATATCTTGATAAAGTATATATATGAGACAGTAACACTGTTTGCAATAACAAAAGTGGTGTGTATTCAATAGAAACTATACAACAACAAAAGTGAATCAATTATAGCCATATACAACACTAGGGATGAATCTTAACACTGAGCCAAAGAGAAGAACAAAACATTACATAATGCAGAAGTGCATTTATATTAATTCAAAAGAAGAGACTTATAAATTAAAAATACTTGGACTTTAAAACAATAAAGAAAAACAGAGAAGTTAGAATACTGGCTACCTAAAGGCAAGGGAAAAGACTATAATCTGGAAAGAGAAGGCGAAGAGCTTTATGAGTCCTAGCAAAAATCTATCATTGGATCAGGATGGTGGTTACATGGAAGATCGCGCTATGAATCTTTAAACTTTAATTTGTTTTACAAAGTTTTCTGTGCTTTATTTCATATAAAAATATTAAAATGCAATATATTTATATTCAAAATAAAACTTCAAACAAAACCAAAAGGAAACGAAGATGCCTCAAAACTGTCCTGTTACAAAGAATTAAAAAGGTACCACAAACGACCAAAAGCATATTTTAAAATTAAATTGAATGAAATGTAAGGCAAATTGTTCAAATGCTGGTACAAATTTGCAACGAGGAGACTGGCTTTTACATAGAACCTGGAGCCCTCCTGTTCAATCTCACTTTGAGAAAATAGCATGTTCATTTAAAAACATATATTTTTTAAGTGCTGTAGTAGGCTGGCTCTAAGACAGCCTCCAAAGAGTCCCACCTCAGAATCCATAACCTGTGTAATTCCATCTTTGTGTGGGCTGGACCCAAAAATTTGCTTCTAATAGAAAAAACATTTGTTGAGATGTAACTTTCAAGATTAAGCTACAGAAAGCTTGTGACTGCTGTCTATAAAACCCTCTCATTTTCTTACTTTCTCACTCTAAGGAAGTCAGCTGCCATGGAGTAAGTTATCCTATACAGAAGCCCATGTGGTAAGAATTTGGTATCTCTTTCCAACAGCCAATGAGTATTGGATGCATTACTATCCCCGTAGAACCTTAAGATAACTGCTGCCCTGGCCAACACCTGGATTGCTTGTAGCTTGGTGAGAAACGCTGAGCCAAGGCACTCAGTTATTCTACACCAGGATTCCTGACACTAGATAGTAAATGTTGGCTGTTTTTAAGCCATTCAATGTGAGGGTAACTTGTTACACAGAAATAAATAACTAATGAAAATGCCTACTATGCGTCTTGCACATTCCCTTCGCTTAATGCTCAAAAGAGAGTCAATAGAAAAAAAAACAAAAATTAAATCTACAATTATAAAAGCAAGATGTGACACTTGAACAAGTAAGTATGTTAACTCTGAAAAGCAGATTCAACTGCCCAATTAGAAGTTCTGCATAAAATCACAAAGCTAATATCCAAAGTCTGAAAGTTAATCTTGAGAAAAAAAAAATCAAAAGCAGTAACTGACCTCCTGGTCAATCTGTATTATTTTATAGTTATACGCTATATCCTTCTTGCCTGAAACAATTTCAAATCTAAATGTGTTGCAAGCATTAAGACACTCTAGAGAAGTGTGAAAAATCTCAGAGAAAAAAGAAAACCTTAATAATCCAGATCATAGATAATAATCAGCCACTTCATTTAATCCCCAGTTATCTTTATGTTTGGACTGTTCACTTAATTGATTCATTATTAAGTAATTTCCTATGTACTAATTTCATTCAATGAGTTCAAAGTCTAATATAAAAAGAACCACATAAAACTACTTCAAAACAATTTGATGCTGTTTTAGGAGGGGAGAAAGTATGTATGAAATAGAAAAACCTATCACTTTCCAAAGAATTTGCTATAGCAAAGATGGTTGGGTACTGAATTAATAATTTTGTTTCCATATGTCATAAAATGTCCAGCTTTAAAGCATGGTCCAAGGACCAAGAGCATCATCATCTGGAGCTTGCTAGAAATGCAGATTATCAGGCTCCAACACACACCCTCTACATCAGAACTTGGATTCTAAGAAAATCCTCAGGTGATTCTTAAACAAACTGAAGATAAAGTACCCACCAAGAAAATAAATTAAGTCATTTAAGTATATATATATATCTTTAATTTATAATGAAAATAATTTTAATAGATATTAAAACATATTAAAATCACAACTGCTACCTCAGCAAAAGTTAAAGGAAAATACAATCATAAACCAAGTGAACAACATTTAGCTATAAACAGAAGCATAACATGGAAAAGTCCAATCTAACAAAGTAAAAAAAAGTTAAAAATAGACATCATGGATAGTCAAAAAAAAGTGGAAATATCGAACTAAGATAATATAAAGTTCTGGCAATGCACAGTTATCAAAATAAGTTCTCATCTTTTTATCTTCAAAAAATAATAAAAACTGTCTGGAGCCTAAAATACATGGTTATATTTTTTTTGAGTGAAAATGACCTAATTAGACAACTGAAAGTAAAAATATAAGATTTGAGTCAATTAGGAATTTAAATATAAAACAGTTTTCAAAGTTATTTTAGCATGCTACTGAGAACATAGGATTTTGTCTTTGGTTTTCCCATATTTTGTACTATTGTGAAAATGACTTTGGCATGTTAAAATGCTTAGTTAGCACACTATGGTTATAAAATCGCTAATAAAAAGTTATTTTTTAGTTATCCTGCATGACTTACACTTTCCAAGTTCTAAATAGGTAGCTATATTTTTACTTGTTTTTCCTCTCCAGCATGCATTTCAATCATAGGAAAACTGTAACTCCTATGTTTTCTTTTCAGGGTAAAAGTTTGGCTGTCATTTGAGCCTAACTTTCATTCTTTGTAGCTATTCTTTTTTTTTTTTTGTAGCTATTCTTTATAGCTTTGAGGTAATGTCATTATTTTCAAATCTACAGAAAACTTTCTGGCTCATGTCTAAAAAGGGGTTTTTAACATATCAAGTTGCAAAGGTAAAAGAAGCTAAAATAACAAAAGTTTAAAAAAAACACAACTCCTGAAAACTCAAATGCTTTCAAATACTTAAATAAAATGTTAAGCCTGAAATGCTTTCACAAAAATGGGGACAAAAATGTCAAGAATCAACAACAGTAAAGAAACATTATGTAAAATACACAAAATAATATACCTCTCTCTTATTTCTTCTTGCAACCTTGAGGAATTCCATAAGGATCTGTAGTTGGGCTGCATGTGATTCCTATAATAGAAAATTATAATTGTTCTTTTAAAAATACAACTTTGAGTTCAAAGTCTTCTTTAACACCACAGTATAATCAGTATGAAGCAACTTTATTCATCCATTTAAGTTAGTCTCATTTCTATTTTGTCAGTTTCCTACTTGCTAATTGGCATTTTTAAAAGCAAGCCATTACAGGCTTCCCCAGTTGCTCAGTGGTAAAGAATCCGCCTGCCAGTGCAGGAGACACGGGTTCAATCCCTGGTCCGGGAAGATCCCACACGCCATGGAGCCACTAGGCCTGCGCGTCACAGCTACTGAGCCTGTGCTGAGAGCCCGGGAGCCACAACTATGAGCCCACGCACCAGAGCCCATCACCATGCAAGAGAAGTCACCATAAGGAGAAGCCCTCAGACCGCAACTGGAGAGTGGCCCTTACCAGCCAGTCAAAATTTGAAGCATCCCTGAGGTATTAAACATACTACAAAAAAGCATGGCCACTTTGGCTTGCAGGATATTAGTGCCCAGACCAGGGGCTACCCAGCCCCTTGGCAGTGAAAGCACAGAGTCCTAGCCACTGGACAGCCAAGGACTCGCCACTTCACTTTCAATGAACTGAAACTAGCTCAAGCAACAAGTGAGCCCCAACTCAGCTAAATTCCTGATCAGACCAAAGAGGTCAACCTCTTATCCTTGCTTCCTGACAAAGGAAAACACAAGACCATTCAGGAAGAAAGCATTAGCCACTTTAGTCTATCTATACTGCTCTTGAATACAGAACATCTAAGACATAATTATAAAATTACAAGACATGAAAAGAAGTAGGGAAGTTAAGAGAAAAAAACAGGCTAAAAGAACAAAATTCACAGATGACTCACATGCTGGGATGAGCAAAAAAAAAAAAAGACTTTAAAATATTTCCATATATTATTAAAGAATTAAAAGAAAAAATGGACAGGAGTGAAGAAACAGAAAATTAGAAAAGAACTGAAAAATCAAAGTGCAAATCCCAGAAATGAAGAATACAGTCTGAAATGTAAAAAAAATTAAAAAATAACTTCAGATAAAGTTAGGAACAAACGAACAGAGCAGAGGAAAGAAATAACAAATTCAAAGACAGTTCAAAAAAAAAAAAGAAGCACCAGAAAAATGTGGGATAATATGAAAAATAAAACATATGATTGGAACCCTAAGGAAAAGTAGAGTGCACAGGGCTGAATAATGTTCACATGTTCAACAAACAGATCCTCTTGTTCTGTGAAACACAACCAGAATAAATATTTTTTAAATGAAACCTAGGAATACCATAATCAAACTACTGAAAACCAATGTCAAAAAGGACATCTTAAGAGCAGCTAAAAAGGATACACTATCTTAAGGGGAAGAACAGTAAGAATGACTGAAAACTTCATCAGAATCAAAGAAGCAAACAGAAAATGAAAATACATCAATAAGGTGCTAAAAGAAAAACAAAAAACTAGACTTCTGTGAAGATCAAACCTACCAGCTCTACAACAAACAGAAAAGAAATCACACAGACAAAAGGGAACTGATTCAGATGGAACCTCATGTCTACAAGAGAAAATAAAGACATCTCAAAGGGTAAATATATTGGTTCAAGAGTCCTTTTCTATCCTTTTTTGCAACGTATCTTCAAAAGACTAGTGACTTTTTAAAGCAAAAATAGGTGGAGTTTATAACATTTATAATTTGAATCACAAAAGGCAGGAGCTTGGTAAATTTAAATACTATAAGATCTTACATTGTCCAGAAAATGATATATAGTCGACCCTTAAACAACACAGGTTTGAACTGCATGGGTCCACTTATACCTGGCATTTTTTCAATAAATCCAAACTGCAGTACTACATGATTCAGTTGGCTGGATACACAGATGGTGACCTGTGGCTATGGAGGGCAGATTATAAAGTTAGATCCAGATCTTCAAATTCACAGGGGTCAGCATGTCTACTTCCTGCACTGCTTAGAGATCAACTGCACATTTAATGCTGATTTGAATACAGTGTCCTGGGAGTGTTACACTATAAACTCAAGGTTGACTGTGAAAAGTAAAAGAGGAATTCTGTAATATTTCAAGAAACCACTAGAAATATAATAATTATAAGCAACATGCAAAAAACAGAGAAGATAATACGCTAAATTGAAATCCTGGAAACACAATGCTCTCTAAAGAAAGCAAGAAAGGAGAAACAGGAAATAAGGAATATATGGAAAACCAGAAAACAAATACAAATGTGGTGAGCTCAAACCCAACCACATCAGTGATCGTATTACATTTAAATGAACTTCAGCATTTGAATTAACGAGTTTATTAGATATCATTAAAAATTCAACTACATGCAGTTAAGAGACACACTTTTAAAATATAAAGCCAACAATAAAATGGAAGTACAAAGATACAGAAGAATATACCATAGAAATGCTAGTCATAGCTAAACTACTTAAGCTATATTATCAACAACATAAGAAAATATAAAAGCAGACTTCAGAACAAGGTATATTTCCAGCATTAAACATATACAATTCATAATGACAAAGGGGATGATTCATCCAGAAAATATCACAATCCTAAACATGTAATCTAATAATGAGCTTCAAAATATATGATGCAAGAATCATAGAAACCAATGAAAAATAATCAAAAATATTTTTAACAAATCCCTGGCAACCCACTCCAGTATTCCTGTCTGGAGAACTCCATGTACAGGGGAGCCTAGTGGGCTGCAGTCCACAGGGCTGCAAAGTTGGACATGACTGAAATGACTTAGCACACATCAATAACTGATGCAGCAAGGAAAAAGTAAATATCTGAGTAATATTAACAAATGCTACATCCACAAAGCACAACAAGTAACAATGTTTTTAAATAAAGTTGAACATTTAACAAAACAAAGACCTTATACTGAGCTATGATAAAAATCACAACAAATTTCAATTGACCAAAATCAAACAAATTGAACTTACAGGCTAAAATGAAGTGAGAAAGATAAGAATTCCTACTTCAAACAACAAAACAGCAGGCCAGTTATATGAATGGATTCATTTCAGACAAAGGAACAGAAATAATACATTATCCCAGGAGCTAGATAGAAAAACCTCCAAATACACAGGCATCAGGAGGAACACTCTCAAAAAGACTGCCTCAGCAGTGAGGCAAAATTAGCTAGACAAAAATCTATTCTAGTTCTCCCTAACAAAACTTAAAACACAAGCTTCAAGAGAATCAAGCTATTTTGAAAATACTTAACTACATGCCAGAACAAAGCTTAGGAATGTGTAAAGGAATACAAAATTAACAATATTAAACATGGCAAAATGTACAATTTCTGGCATCCAATCACAAAATTAGTAAGCACGCAAATAAGGAAATGCTGCCCAAAATAAGGGGGGAAAATCCATCATTTAAAACAGAAACAACAATGACACAAGTAATAGAATAAGGGAACACAGTCATAAAAGAGTCCTACAAGTTAGTACAAAGCATAAGGAGAGACAATGGAATATAGAAAAAAGCAGTGAACTTGACAAGAGAAATAGAAACTACACAAGATGAACTAGATGGGGGAAAAGATAAAACATAAGTAAACAGAGTTGTTTATCCCTGAGCTATGATACAACTTCAATCAGCCTAAGAAATGTGTAACAGGACTTCCCAAAGTAGAAAAGGTGACAGAAAAATATTTGTAAGAAGTAATAACTGAAATTTTTCCAAATCTGGTGGAAGCTATAATACTACCATCCAAGAATCTCAAAGAACCTCAAGAAGAAGAAACATGAGGGGGAAAAAAAAAACTACACCAAGGTATATCAAAGTCAAAATACTTAAAACCATAAAAAGAGCATACACTGAGAGAAATACAGTTCATTTCAAGGATCAAGACTTCTCATCTGAAACAATGCAAGACACTGGACAATGGAGCAACGTCCTTAAAATACTGAAAGAAAAAAGTATATCTATAACTCTATACTTATTTGGAAGTCCCTTTCAGATATAAATGATATAGAAAGACATTCTCAGATATAAACAGTAAAAGAATTTATCACCAGCAGACCTACACTAACAAAATAATAAAGGCTGTCTTTCAGGCAGAAGGAAAATAACTGATGGAATTCAAAAGAACAAATGAAAGAGTGAAGTGAATGGAAAACAAAAGAATGAAGTACACCAGAAATGATAAATATATGGGCATATATAGAACTTTTAAAATATCTCCATAGAGTACAATTTACTATTCAAAATTAATAATTAGGGAGTTATGATATACAAAGAAGTAAAACAATTGACAAAACCAGTACAAAGGCTGAGAGAGAAGAAATGTAAGTATATTGGTGTAAGGTTCTTATACTACCAATGAAGTAGGATAATATTACTTAAAGGTACAATGTAATGTAATGTAATGTAATGTAATGTATAATTATATTAAAAACCCAAAAGCAATCACTAAGAAACCAAACAAAATGTTATATCTGACAAATAAAATTAAAGTCAACAAGACAAGTAAAATAAAATCATAAAACATACTCAATCTAAAATCATATAAATCACTGTCTGATCATGATACAATTCAACTAGAATTATCAAAATACCATTTGACAAAGTAGCAATATCCAAAATACATACACACATTTCTTACAAATCAATAAAAAAAGACAAACAATCTATTAGGAAAATGGGTATAGGCTATGAATAAGCAATTCAAATAAGAAACCAAGATAGCCAAACAAATGAAGAAACTGTCCTCACTAGTAATTAAAGAAATACAAAAAATACAAAACAACAAAACACACACACACACAAGCATTTGGATTAAACTATCAAACCAGCAGAAGCTAAAAAACAATACCAAAGTTTGATATGGTACAAACTCACAGAAGAGCAATTCGGCAATATTTAATATGGTTAAAATGTACATGTAAACCCTATGAATAGCAATTACACTTCTTAAATCACTTAAGTACTTATATACGAGCACAAGACGACATGAATAACAACACTAAAT